TAAAATCTATTTTAAACTCTCAAAACTCCCCTTGTAAATTTTGGTATTAGGTTTCTTCTTTCTGCCCTTTTTTATGAGCTAATCATCTTCATAGCAGGTATACATAATATTTAAGTTGGCATCAATCTAGTTTGAAGGCTTCAACTCTGTTTCCTTTTGGCTTTCTGCATAGGTACAATATAATAAGGCTACTAGTAGAAAAGAAGATAAGTTTGTTTTTTTTTTTTTTACATTGTCGTCATCATGGGAATACTTAAAGGCTGTTTATTCTCTAAGATTTTGAGAACAGGTATTTAAAATGAAATACATTTGAAATTTTTAGCTGTTTTTTATTGAACTATAAAACATAGAAATTGATGTGTAAATGCCAATGTAATAATATATATATATATATTAAACAATGAAAAGAATGTTGCTTTTAAACAATCCCTGAGAGAGTTTGTGTGTTTCCTGATGATCAGTTTTAAATTACTACTGAGGCTTACAGCCAGAGCAGGGCTAGAAATGTCCATCCCACGCTTCCAGATTTAGAAGACATGCTCTTGTCTTACACCTTTCAGTGGTAACATATGACCATGCAACCAAATGCAAGTGTTTTCTTTATAAATCACGCAGATCATCTAAGACAAAGATATCACAATTTTGCACATGACTGTTTCTTCAACGTAAGTTTTTCTAGGTCATGAGAAATGTGCTTTTTAAATTAAATCTATTACACTGTAGCCTCTAGTTAATCTTCAAGGCAGGAATGGTATATTTAAAAAACTGTCTCCTTGTTAAACAGACACCATAACAGTGTTTGTGTAGTGTATTGTTAACCTCCAGTGGAAGGTTAAGCAGCTTCTTCTGTATCTGAGTCTGTTGCTGTGAAAAATGACTTCAGTGTCATACCCACCTACCCGTGAATGGGGAAGCGAAGACGTACACCTGTGGGATTAGGTAGAGCAGCAGGAAGCAGGAGCATTTGCAGCATATAATTAGCAAGGAATTTTTTCTCTCTTTTTAAGCAGTATGTTCATCTTGCTAGGTTAACTAGTAATTAATGCTTGAAAAAATAAGCTGGAGTCTGCACCCTTACTTAATCTCATTCACTCACTGATGTATTCAATTACTTGTGTAGCTGATATCAGAAGAATTCACCTCAAAAAACTTCATTCCCTTCCATAGTTACTAATGTCTTTATGATCATGAGGACAATTTTAGATCTTAAAGTCCCTTTACTATAATTTCGTTGACAAACATCTGTCCTTTTCTGGCAGAAGACTTAAAAGTAATTCAAGAACTCTAGGTTTAGAGGAGACTACACTAATAAGCAAGTTGGAGTTTATGTAATGAACTGATGGTTTCAGAGGTTTAAATAGGGGTATGAGAAAATCATTTTATCTCCCTAAATTGCATTTAATACGTAGAGTGCTTGCCATGTGGTTTTTAATTGTTATTTTTAATATTCATTAAGGAAACTATAATTTAATTATCAATACAGAAACGATATCTAAACACAGCTCTCTAGGAGACAATATTCTTGGTTTTCTAGAAAAAGTCATCCAAACCCATCATTGTTGAAGGGTAATGGGACATTGCTCTGATAAAGCTGGAAGGCACACTTGTTCCAGAATCTGTAACTGTCTGTGTCCCCATAATGCAACTGGAGGTATTCCTGTCATTTACATACCCAAAAGCACACCAAAAAATATAACATCAGTGTGCTTAGCTTGCAAGGCTTTTTAAACTACATATCATTTCTAATAAGATAACATTTAATACTGGAATTGGATGCAGTGACTTTCAAATGTGTAAATTTCACTCCCACATAACAAGAGTCTTAACACAAAGGAGCACTGAGCCAGCGATAATGTCTTCTATCCAAACACATTTGTACTGTACGTAGAAACTGTTTAAAAGGAAAATTACATCTTTTTCAGCAATTTATCAGAGATAATTACCCTTCATACACTAAATGAAGGATAAAGTGTTTTAAAGAACTATAATTCTAATTGGAACATGTCACCAGGTGTTGCAGTTACACTTACTTGTGTATATTCTTTTAATGATTAGAGTCTCATGCCACAAGCTGCATGAAAATATATTCACTAGGTGTGAAATTCCCATATGTCACAGTTTCAAGAATAGGTAAACAACTCCAAGATAAAGCAAGAAGTAATAATGCTAATGAGGAATGTGAAGAATTCTAGGTTTTATTTTCTAAGCAAGTGCATATTAATTTGCCAAAAGGGAAGAGAATGTGACTAAAAAATGAAAACTTTTCAATGAGGTTTACCTTACATACTTAACCAGAGCTTTTTTATTTTCTTAGAAAGTTATGGCACGCTCTCAACTTGCAGATGGGTATCACATCCCCTGGAGTCTGCCAATAGGAAACAGAATTTAGTTTTCTTTTAGGTTTAAGCTGCAAAGTATTTGCTGGTTTTAGATGGTGGAAAACGCTCCCTGGACAGTATCTTGTGAAGCCTAGTGCTAGCTTTGAAGTGATCAAGCTTACAGAAGTAGCCTTGGCAAGTGTATAAAACCACTGCTCTTCCCTCTTCCTGCCTGGAACTTCCTTTTCACTGAATCTCTTGGTGAAGTAGTTGACTAGATTGAACTTCTAAGCATACTTTTCTTCTGAAATGTGGAAATAAAAATGGGTTTGCTTGCATAGGGAAAAATGTTGGGAAAGAAAGTCTCTCTTTCAGCTCTCAGTGTAGCTGGGCTGGTCCCAATGCATAGCTTCCTGTTTCTAGGCACCTGAGTGAAACTCAGACACTGAGCTATCTCAGTAGCAAGTATAGAAAATTCTCCCCATGTCCTTTTCATTCCGTGGCAGGGTGCCTTCTGAGTGTTCTCATTTTCAATGCTTTGACAAAGTTTGAGAGTCACAGAGAGGAATACATACCATACGGCTTAGTTGCCCTCTAAAATGAGTAGTACAAATGACCCCTCCTCTGCTCTTGAAAAACTGATATATAAACCCCACTTCCCCCAAATAGAAAACAATCCAGGTTTTCATTCATCATCCTGTGGTTATTTAATCCTTCAAACACTGGCTATGAGCATTACACAGAAATAAAGGGAATGAACTTGTTCAGTTACTCCACTGGGTTGGCAGTGCCCACTTTACATACATATGCCCTTAAAGGAAATATTAGTTAAAATAGTTATTTTAGATTTTAACCTAGTTATATCAAGACTGTGTTGTAAAAATTCTTAAATTTTATGGGGTATATTTCCCTTTAAGCTGAATGTAAGAACAGTAAGAAATTGTAGTTATCAGTGCTGGGGATGAGGCTCAGTTGGTAACAGGCTTGCCTAGCATGTAGGAAACCCTGAAATCTGTTGCCAAAACCTTATAAATTGGCAGAGTGGTACACACCGATAATCCTAGTACTTGGAAAATAGAGACAGGAGGATCAGAAGTTCAAGGTCATCCTCAACTATATAGCAAGTTCAAGGCTAGCCTGGCCTAAGTGAGACCCTGT